GTTACAAGTTTAATCCAGTTAGGGTAGTGTGATGCAAGTGCAACGAAATGCTATTTTGCATCTTTCTGGGTTCAGTACAGTATTTTGCTATTTATTTGGAGTGATATACGAGTACATTATACTTGGATTAATTTTCTGGGAAGAATAAACCTAACATTTTTACCTTTTCAGTCATCAGAAAATGATGATAGGCCAAAGGTTCACCCGAAAGTAAGTGGTTGAACAATCAAAGAGGAACTGGCTATCTGAATTCTGAGGTACTACCTCTAAAGATTCTACTGGAACACAACAAAGCTGTGAGCATTAAAAAACACATTTGCTATGGTGACAAACTAGGTAAGGTGGTGGTAGCTGAAACTCAGGTTAATCCACCTGACCTTAAAACCCCACTGCTGGCCATGACCAAATCTAAAACATAACTAGCGATAGCTGAATCTGTAACCACAAGGCAAGTGGACTAGATATTTATAAAATATAGAGAGTTTTATTCTTTCAATGGAAGAGAAGACCTACAATTTTTATGCATTTATAAACTCTACGGAACCGAGCGCACTGCTCTATATAACATGGCAAAAATAGTATAATCCCAAAGGCAGCTGCAAGTAATATACATTGTAGAGTATAGTAGGTACATAGCGCTACGCGGATATGTCACTCTATGGCTTCGTTACCCAATGATTCGTTATAGGGTAACGACAAACTATCAGTGTGCTATCAGAATTAAAATTCAAGATCTAAGATGCTTTTGATGTTTCCACCTTCGGCCTGATCATCACTTACCATCAGGTGAGATACAGGCCAAGAGCTTCCACGTTATGGATAAAAAAATGTGATTAGAAGTAGCCTACTTAGTTTCTGAGATATACTTTTTTCAGTAAATATAAAATTATGGTCAAAATGGTTTCGAATGCTGCCACGAGACTACAAGACCCTTATTTGGCCTGTCCGGGACAACGACAAGTTATATTGGACTAAAACCCAATGAAAACCTGGAATCATCTTATCGCTGAGACTAGGGCGTCCTAAGTACTAGACACGACCAAGACTTCTCCCTGGAAATCACCCTGACTTAGGTGGCACTTACAAATCCCCCGAGACTTTTACATCAGGAACACGACCTTCTTTAATTTACCAGAGGCAAATGGAGAATTTATTGGCCTATTCCTATATTTGATCCCTAGTTGCCTTTTACGACTTAAAATGGAAGAGTAGGGGTGGTCTATACTCTGCCAGAATCTAGATTCTTTAACTTCCTTGAACAGTGGCAAAGCGTATAAACGCACACCTCACAGAATAAGAGATGGTGTTTACCAATCAGATTATGGAGATCTAATGATGTTTCAAACATAAAAAAATACTTTCAATAACACCACGTTGGGCGCCAATCTATCCACAACATGAAAATTAATAAAAAAAGATGAAGGTGTTTATTAATACTGATCACATAAATATCAATTACTTTATAGCTATTTCCAGGTCACGGTCATTTTTGTTAAAATCCACCTTAAACTAAATAGTTTCTTTCACTTGCACAAAATTGAACTTTATCACTGTCACAACAGAACCAATAATCGCGTGAAGAGAATATCTAATTTGTTGTATTTCGATGACATAATTGTTTGTCCTAATTATTAGTAGGAGCGACTGGCTCGCTTAGCGGACGGAGTTACTTTACACGCGGGAAGTGAAATGTACGGCTGGGGCTTGACAGAAAACGACGATCTATTTTTTTATTCATCATGAAGCTCTTGACCTGCATCTCTCTATGATGGATGAAGTGATGATTAGGCCGAAGGTAGAAGCGAGTTTCACTCGGAACAGTGGCGGAGTAGCATGGGTTGGCACCCGGGCGATAGCACGCACAGCGCCCAGGCGAATTCAGCTCGGTGTTAGTTACCTACTTAGGTTAGTTGAAAATCTCGATCGATACTGAAATTCACAGAAATAGATACAAATGAATTTAGAACCTCTTCTTTTTGAAGTCGGTTAAAAATCAAATCCGCTCTCAAGTTGGCCACAGATTCATTTATGTCCGACTTATTCAGTAGAAGAAGGAAGACATAAAACTCTAGAAGGAATAGGTACCTGTATAAAGTCATCATCACCACCTGAAACAGATGTAAGTACCTACCTACCATCAAGTCAGTATTTAATCAGACAGGTTTGTTCAAAGCTACCGAAGACAGACATTATTGCATGTGATTCAAACCCAGGATCTTCGAGTTCAAGAGCGGTGAACTCTTTAACCACTATACCACAGAGAAAGACGAAATTAATATACCTACAACACGTGGTTGGTTGTTAGGTAAGGTTTTACTACAATAAGTTAATCCAGCCGTCAACAAGAATTGAACCCGCGAACTCTAGAAACGGCCTTTCTATGCCTGAACTGTTGACCTTATTGTCCATATGCTAAGAACTGCCCAGTCAGGTTGACGTACTATCGCTAGTACGTGCCCACAAGGTTTTTGTCTGTTCTAGTAGCTATAGTTCCATGTACGTCTAAAAGGATTACCCAGGGGGTGTGGCCGAGTCAAGCGAAATGCCCTTGGTTTCCAGCCTTACTGCTTGGTTCTGAGGGTTCTGAGTCACCACTGAAGTTCATCTCATCCTGACCTAAGTTTGCAGTCTCTACAGTACGACTTTTTAGGCCCGGTTTCGACTAAAGCGGAGAAGAGAGACGTGTTTCGAATCATGGATCAGATTTTTGAACTGACGCCAAGAAGAGGAAAAGGAATTCAAATTCATTTATTTTTGCAAGTAGGCTTATAAAAAGCTCTCTTATTAAAATGCTAGGGTTAAAGTAATACCTACCTACTGGGACGTTCCCAGTGCCTGCACCACTGCATCGAGGCAACAAATGGGCAAGTATTAGGATCATTATTGAGGAAGTGGAAACAACGAAACCTGATTGGTTATTCAAACACATCTAATCTCCTATCCGCTTTGGTGGAAAATAGCTTTAGTTTACGGACGGACAAAATTATGAGTGTAGATAATCGTCATCTCATATCAAAGGCACATCAAACTTTACCTTAGTGTATAAAATAAGTGTCAATTTACACTATGGCATTTCAGTGGTAATAAGTACGATTTTACTTTGCTGTCTGTTTAAGTAGTCGGTTAATTTTCACCTACAGTCAGCGTCAAATAGTTTGAGACACCCAAAGTGGCCAAGTTGACTTGTATGTAACAGAGACATGTTGCGAACTTTTTGACGCTGACTGTACAACAGTAGGCGCGCGAGTTCATGTCCATCCTGAGGAATGCGGTAGTGCTGTTACCTAACTAATTATGCTAATGTCGATATCGATAATTATTACCAATTAAGTAGGTCAACCTTATCTATTTATTCCATATTTTTTGCAACTTATAAGTAAGTATAAGTATAAGTAAATAAGTAAGTAAGTAAGGCCCCGATGGACATGAACTCGCGCGCCTACTGTACCTGTTGTATCGTGTTCTCTATACATACAGAATATATTCAGCTAAGAGAAATAGAAAAACATTAGGTTTCCTTCTGTACTATTTATTTCAAAAATACATCACAATTTATTAACTAACATACCTACATTGGATGAACTTATTATTTATTCTTGTAGCTAAACTCTAAATAGTCTATAACATAATTTTATCCCTTATTTACATATTCAACCTTTAAAATCTTTAATAAATCGTTGCAAGTCTGGAGCAAATGAAGATAATTAATACAATTTTATAACCAAAAGTATCCAGAACGATTACAATAATAATATAATAATATAATTACATAAGCACATGGCTTACAAAGTTTTAAAGTACATAAGTACAACCCTGTCTAGTAACTGCGCACTAGGCTGCCGTGACGTCACCTCGACGTTCTGGTACGGACGGGACGAACGCGGAGGTATGCGGGTGAGTGCGAGGTAGAGTCGCATTCCAGCCAGGTGCGCAGTTAACTTGACCGGATTTTATAATGTTTGTTATGATATATCGATATAATCAAAATCCACAACGAAAAAGAAGAAGTGAAACTATTTCACTAACTTATATCTCCCTAATAATATGTCTGGAAGAGATCATTTCCTAGTGATAAGACCGACTAAAGACGGTTTTCGCGTATGAAAAATCCGCGAGGTCCAAATGCTGCATGATTGGTTATTTTTGACATGACATTGACAGATATGTCAAAATCCACCAATCACGCAGCAGTCTGACCCCACATCCACGTCCCGCCATCTAGCGGATCTTTCATACGCGAAAACCCTCAATGGCGTCGTTCCTATATTTTGTATATTAATTAGTCTGTTTTGTGTTGTGCAATAAATTTTCTATTTATAGCGCTTATTATCTTTATCTGTCTAATAATTATGTATTATTTTGATTATAAATATTTGGTATAATTATGTAAATATTATGTATTAATTAAGCACCCATATCCCAAGCTGATGACAGTTCTATATTGCTATGATGATGACAGTACTACATTACTATTCATGTTGTCTATAGAGTCAAACATGGAAAGCATTGAGGGAGGCCTATGTTCAGCAGTGGACGTCCTATGGCTGAAATGATGATGATGATAGAGTCAAATATGAAATAATGTTCCTATGGCATAAACATTGTTGTCGTAATACCGAGTAGATAAAATAAAAATTAAATAAAATTAATAAAATTCATTTATTTTTGCAAATAGGCTTTAAAAAAGCGCTTTTACACGTCCCAATATTAACCCTACCACTGCTTCGGGACAATAAATGGGCCAGTGCTGAGAAGAAGCAGCGCAAGAAACTCAGTCACTATAGAACCAAGTTACCTGTTATAGTAACAGTTTAAAATAACCACACAGACATATTGACGAAAGCGTAAGCTTTCTATGATAGCCTGGATGTATGATACTGTTAAGTGCCTTTACCTTTTTAAACCTTTTAGTGATCCGTAGTTTGGATGCGAACAGGTGACATGACCCTATCTGGAAAACGATCAGAAAGTTGGTTTTCAACCCTTATTTAATTCTACACTAGCATTGTTTTCCAGAATATACTTATTTAGATTACATCCTATTCTATTTTTTCCTCTGATGCCGCAGCTTCCATGAGTTGAATTAAGCAGGCTGGATTCGATTCCACCTTCTTCCCAGTCCCATATATCTTCTGACACAACCCATAGAATCTCCAGCTGTTCAATTCTTCAGGATTCTCCTTAATCATAGTCTTATACTCGGTCCTTATTTTCGTCATCATCTTGGAACAGGCCAACGGGCTTTTGCCCAAAATGGAAGAGGCTTCCATCCAAAGATATTTACGAACGAATTTGGGATTCTTGAACTTATCCAAATTGGCCAGATACCACACCAAAAGCTGCTCGGTTTCTTCATCTGTCCAGATAACTTCTTCACCATCTTCTAGACTTATTTTAGCCTCTGTGTCTGTCTGAGTTTTCAACATTTTTTCCTTATTAATAATTTCTTGCAACAACTCGCTAAATAAAGTTTTCTCTCCAGCAACTTCTTCAGTTTCGACATTGAAGAACTGCTTCAAATAGTTGATTTTGTTGAACAGTTTATTCACTGGTTCAGACACGAAATTGGCTAGTTCTGTCCACAGATATTTCTTTTCGAATCTAGGGTTGGAGAATTCCTCGATATGCTGCAAATAATACTGCAACGCAAGTTCCACTTTCTGTGTTGGTAATNTTGGCAACTGCACATCTTTATATGTTTTACCGACCTTGGAACTGGTTTGACTTTTCTTTGAGAACTTCGGTTTTAGTAAAAGCACTTTTTCCATGAGGTTGTGGTACAAAGATTTCCTCCTGTTAGCCTCTTCATCATCAGTCTGTTTGGTGTGGTTTGCCTTTAACCTGGCTAACATCTTTCTACAAGACAATGGCGTCTTCTCCGATAATTTCGATGCAATTTCTGTCCACATTTCTTTAGGGTTAATTTCTTTTCCTTTCCTTGATCTGATGTAATTCAAGTACAGCACTAATAGTTTCTTCTTGGATCGTTTGTTCCATTTTGTAACCCCAGGTTTAGCTTGTGGCTGTTCATCATTGGTGCCATCTTCAGAGGTCTGTTGAATGATGATTTTTGCGTTGCTGATGTCTGATAGTTCTTGACCTTCGGGCAGCACGATGATGCATTGATAGTCGTCTTCTGAAAAAGTAGTTACTGTGTGAATTTTTGTGCAGTAGAATAAGATAATCGACAGTATAACAGTTTTGTAAAGTGTTGATAGGTAAAGAAATGTTTGAGTTTAAACAGAAAATGTATCAGACAAACAAAGAGATTTCGAATGATGACATATCCCTGATTTTATTATTTAAGAACTTTTTACCACTTACCGTCTTGCGAATCGATTCTCTCTTCAACCACGTCATCCTCGTAAACCAATTCATCCACCTCCATAATCTCATCATCCACGTACTCAACTATCTCCACATCGTTCCCAATCTTGGCGAAGACATCTTCAAACATATTGTAGTATTTCCACGACACTTTGCACTCTGGATGGGTTTCTTTCATAGCTTTCAGCCTTTTGTACGACTTCTGCAGTTCCATAAACTTGATATTCACCGCTGTCTCTGATTTATTCATGATCCGTGCTAACGGTGCCCATTTAGTACTATCGCAGCTCTCTGAAAGGTCACTGAAATTGCTGGAGTAGTAATTGATAATTTGCTTAATTTCCTTCGTAGCCCATTCTTCAGTCTCTGCAGATCCAATTTTGTTGTTTTTCAGCTTGTTCTTTATGGCTCTGTAGCCAAAGACTTTTTTGCACAATGCATAGTAAGGCCATAAAATAGGCATCTCCGGTTTGTTTATTTCACGTTGAATGTACGAAATGTAGACTTGTTTCAGATTTCTGAACCTGTAAACAAAAAAAATTACAAATAAAATTCCAGACAATTAAGCCAAATACGTCCTGGACAAAGACCGCGGGACCACGAGGAAGAAAAAATCTCAAGTAGCGACAACAGATTGGAAAACGTAGTGTGGGCAGGCCTTCCATTAGGTGGACCGACGATCTGGCGAAGGTCGCGGGAAGCACCTGGATGCCGGCAGCACAGGACTGGCTGTAGTGGAAATCCTAGGGGACAGCAGTGGACAGCATCGCGACTGAATCGCTACAAAAAGTCGCAGTGGGCGAGGGCCCTTAGTTGAAACGAACATGGCGTCGTTGAAGTGACAATACCTCCTAACTACATTATTTTTTTTGTTTACAGGAGGTAAAAAAAATACGTAAACATTACTTGCGCATATAGCAGCTATTTCCAGTTTTATTGCTATCTAAAAAGAAATATCAGTTAGAAATTAATTTCGTACGGAAAAATCCACGCGGAATTAAATTTTAAGCCTATCGTATACAAAAAATCGATTTCTTAAAAAAAATTAGTTAGGAGGCATTGTCACTTCAACGACGATGGGTAAAAAATGGAAATATGCACAAACCTATGGGCGCACTTTTCCCCACTCATTCCCAGCTGTCCGGCCAACTGATCCCACAACGCTTGCTTCTTACGTTGTGAGGTTGAGAACTTCTCCTTATTTTTTTGATAGTACTCCAGTATCTGGAAAGCTTTGGAGTCACCGACTCCACGTCTAACGCGCTTGGTGAAGCCTCTTTCATCGAACTCCTCATCGTCAGATATGTCTGGTAACTCATCAGTTTTGATATTCACCCGTGCCACTGAAATTAAAATAACGCTGTTAAAAAATACTACAAATAATAATGTTAAGATTGATTGTTGATCATTTTCAACCGACTTCAAAAAAAGGAGGAGGTTCTCAATTCGACCCGTATGTTTTTTTTTTTCTATGTTTGTTACGCGATAACTCCGCCAATTATGAACCGATTTGAACAAATCTTTTTTCGGCGTATAGGTAATACCTCAAGGGTGGTCCCATTTAAATTTAATAATAAAAAAAACAACCCCCAAGGGTGGAAAATTGGGGATGAACTTTTTTATACGCAATATTTTTAATTTTTAGTTTTTTTTTGTGTTCACGCATTTGAAGTCGGTTTTATTTTTTTAAAAGTTATCGGTGAACAAAATGAAATATTTAAATCAGCATGTAAAATGATTTAAAATTATTTATGCGCTTTTGAAAATATGTAAAATCTGAAATGTAATGAAATGCATTAATAAATGTAAAATTACCTGCAAGTTTATTATCAGTTTTTGAAGTATCTTGATCCTTTTTCAAATATTTGAAATCATTCAACAAGTTTGTGTCCATACCATAATCAAATATGACGTCAAACATTTCAATGTATCTCCAATCAATTTGCATGTCCGGATTCTCTTTTTTGTCGTCTAATATAGATTTGTACAGAGTCTTCAATTCTTCCCATTTCTGTTTACAAGTCTGTATGCTTCTGTTTAATTTCTTAGACAAACACGCCCAGAAAACGTTATAACAAACTGGGTCTTTGAAAACTATCATGTTTTCATATAAGAACTCCACTAATAGGTCTATATCTTCTGTTTTCCAAACCACTACGTATGTTGTATTGTTTGCCAATTCCAATACGGTCTCCTTTGATATTATGTTGTCAAATAATATTGCAAGCGGTTTGCGCTGTCTCAGACTATAACCACCCTCAAAATACAAGTTCAAATGTTCGTCCTTTAATTCCTGATACTTCGACTTACATACCTCTGGTTTTTTATCAAGTAATCTACTAACTTCATTCCATAGGAAATTATTTGGTATAGTTTTGTCCATAAATTCATCGAAACAATCAAAGTAATACTTAACTAGAATCGTCTTTTCTGTCTCGTTCCACTCATTTACATCTACAGGCTGAACTTCTGCCTTTCTAGTACCATTTTCGAGAAACTTCCTCTGAAATTCTGGATCATCTTCAAATATCTGATCAAATAAGTGCATGTAAGGCCATTGCACACTCTCAGGTCCCTGGCTTTCTCGCTTGGCGTGTGCTCTTAAATAATGTTGCCTAAAATTCAAGAATCGTTTGTGCCAATAATCCGAGTCTTCCTCCCCTAGTTCAATGGCAATAGTTTCCCATAAACCTCTACGCCAATAATCCTTCTGGAAGTTTTTCTTGTATTTCAAGTATAAATTCAACATCGCTTCAACTTTAGCATCTCCTGTCGATTTGTTTGTGTTAATATTTTTGACAGTTATAACACCACTATTTGAGCTTTCTTCGATAGGGTTGTTCTCTACTGGTACTTTAATTTTTTTTTGTGGCTGTGATAATTGCACTCGGAGGATAAATTGGACGTATGTATCGTCATGGAATGCTTGATGGCACAGATTAAACAAGGGCCAGGTAACAGCAACGCCTTTTTGTTGGTCTATGAGCATCGAGGAGTACTTGTGCTTCAAATTACGTAGCTTAACATCACAATTGTCAGCAGTTTTGCCAACCAACATGGTCTTACAGGCAATAGCCCAGAGATGTTTCTTCTTAGCTGTGCCAGTGATAAAGGTTTCTTTATTGTCAACGTAGAATACAAGGAGTTTTTGGACTTCTTCCTCTGTCCACCTCAATTTGACAGGCTCGGCCCACACTGTAGTTAAAGGAGCTTCATCCAACTGGACCTCATATTCAACACTATTGGATTTTTCTTGCATCTGAACCAATTCAACAGATGAATTTTCTGTCTCATTTTCTGTAACAAAATAAATATTTAATTTTTTTATCCTTTAGGTTCTACTAGATGTTCAAAATAATAGAAACTAAGACGAAATAAAATTGAAGTATTGACATATTTTTATGCAAAGAAAGCAGTCCAATTCTTCCTATAAAAGGAGTTGTGTTTACAATTATAATTACGCTTCAAAATTTGCAATAAGATTTTCAAAACAGACTGGCCATACAAGGAAAGGATAGCCTATTCTTTTAAATATACTTAAAATGTGATACAAACCATCCACATAAAATAGGAGGATTTCTCCGTTAGGCTGTGCCTGCATCTCCGTTTTAACCATTACTTGTTGTTCCATTGTTTACATCTGGAAATCATTATTATTAGATCGAATAAGCTTATTTATTCATAGGCTCAAGGCAGAACTAGTACATGACCAAAAGAACAGAACTACACACTACTACAAACATTAAATAAACCAAGATTTAACACTATTGTTTTTCTTTCAGCTGATTTAGATTATATCGTTAAAAGTCACGGAAAGCATAACGTTTGGTGCATTGCACAGATTAGAGAGTATGGTGCATTGCTCTCATAATGAGATAAATTTATTCAGAAAATTACTTCTTTGCTTTGCAAACACACCTTACAAGAGCTTACAAACACAAAATTGTTCAAATTATAGTCATGGATTATAGGTTGGGTGGGGACGGGTCGACTTTTCTTTTGCAGCAAGAATTTGTTTCTTCCAATAATATTGTAATGTAATTCATTAATTCATAGGCACAAGCACAAATTTATTTCTACTTACCAAAATAAATATTTGTTTTGACATGAGATTGGCGGCGAATATTGTTAAAACTTGTTCCGAAATTTCACGAATATTCCGCAGCAATGCGGTTAGCGTAGAGATAGAGCGTTTCGATCCGCCATTTTATTTTTCATTGACGTTTAGTCAGTGACACGGGTGGGCATTTTTATTGGAAATTCTAATATAAACTCCAATTGTTATAATAACGTTCATACAATAAATCAGTTTAATTTATTATAAAAATTAATTTTACATTTACACGATACAGAAAAGTATGACATGAAAAAAATGTTTTATATTTTTTTATGGCAATCTGTGCTGCGCTACTGGTTTTTGGTCTTCCTCCCTGGCGGGAAAGTAAAGTAATAAGTTTATCAGTTTTATTTATTTCCTAATTTGTGTTTATTTTAATATTAATGTGTATTATTTAGTACCAAATAAATATTTTTCTTTCTTTCTTTCTAACAAGTGTGTGCTGCTTCACTTAAGAAAACATCGTTTGTGAATTTGGGCGTAAGTGCCTTTTCACACGTTCCGGTTGCTGGCTATCCGGCGCCGGGTACCCGGTGGTGAAGTGTATGGGCATGGTACGGAGCTTTCACATGTTCCGGCGTAATTAATCCGGCATGCCCATACATTCACGACCGGGTACCCGGCGCCGAATAGCCGGCAACCGGAACGTGTGAAAGGCACTAACAATCCTGCTACACAGGGTGTGTTTTTGAACTCTCGGGAATTATTTGGGATAAGAAAGAAAAAATCATTATACGAAAACACAACTTTAATGTCATACTCTCAAATCAATCAGTCAAAAATAATTATAATAAAATAAACTTTGTTCTGGACACAAATCACGCTGAAAATAAAATAAAACAGTTTAATTTTAATATTTAAATAACAATTATATTCGAATAAAAAAAAACATTATTATTACAAAATTATATAGAATCTATGCAAAATAAAGGTAAAATCTTCTTTATTTAAACTATGGAAAGTACTTGATTGCAGTAATTCGTTTATTAATAATAAAATAATATTTTGCTTACTTTGGTAAAACGTAATAATACTGAATAATGTGTTATCTTTGCTAATGGTTGTGGTCAGATTTTACGCATTAAAGGTAGGTATTATCCACATTATTACGTAGCGTGCGACATTTATCTACATACAGGTTGTCTTAAAATTAGTACGTCACACTGACCCTGGAGGTAGCTGAGTTTTGAGCATCATCAACATCAAGCAGAAATGCCAGCGTCAAAAATCGTATCCCAGTTTTTTAATGTTTATAAACCTCCATATCGCACGCGTACGCCGCGGCCAGACATGTAGTAATGTGGATGAGCTGCAGTCGACAGCACATTAATTACACATTTTTGTAGCGAAATAGCACATTTTTCAACTGCATAAAATGTTATATACTTTGCACAGTGTTCATATTAATGTGCTGTCGTGCTCGTGACCATCTTTACCTTTAATTGTAGAATCGGATTGTGTAAAAATAAAAGAATATTACTACATTTTGTCTTAAAAAAATATTCAATTGGTATTCGATTAATACATCTATTTGGTCTCAGACTACACTACTACAAATCTTCACAGATATGATGATGTCTCACTAAAAATTATGGATGATGATTATTTTATAAAATATTTGATTACATCTCATTGCTATTAGATTTACTAGCTTTTATTATAATATTAAGCTTAAGCCACTGTTATATTTGTAATATAAACAATAGTTAATTTAAAATTTGATAAAAACTACGTAATTATTGTACAATAAAGTCGTATAATAATTATTTTCTGTGCTGCTTTGTAATGTAATGGTTGGGACAAAATTTATTGTCAACCTTTATTACAATTTTTATAAAATGGTATTAATAGTTAAAAAAATAATTATATTAATTGTTTAAAAGTAATAAATATTAAATTAATAAATATAGAAGGAGCTTTGTAGATAATAACTAAAATAAACAAGCAAAAGATTGTAATTTTGCAGGTTTCAAATTAAGCAAAACGGATTTGGATGAAATATAAATAAATACCTACGAAATGGTAACTTTCTTTCGTAAATTCTACCTTGATTAGTATGATTTCAACTAAATTCCATAAAAGTAGAACTGTTAATTATTTTAACAATAAATGAAATCTTAAAAGCACGTGTAGGTAGTTATATTACTATTATTATATTTGTTACGTGTGTGTATAATCAATAGGTATAATAACCACAAACATTCAATAAAAATAATAAATCTTAAATTAATACATTCAACAAGTAGGTCTACGTAATACAACGTCTAATTAAATTAACTGAAACTCCGAATTTTGTAGAGCCATTAGTTTTATTATGGTTTTCTTTACTATAGTTACCAAGTTTATACAGTGAAATATAAATCGTTGGCATCATTTTAAAATAAGACTACTCATGATACATAGTACCTAATCTCTCAATATTTGGGGAATGTACTGTGTATCATGTGTAAAGTCTTATATTAAAAGGATGCCAATTATTTAAACACCCTGTATTAGTGTGAAATTGTGTTTCCATCGTTAATTCGTAGAGTTTCTGTTGTTTTAATTTTATTATTACGTTGTATCTATTATACATTATTATTATACCTAATAATATACAATCACATTAAATATAAGGACAACAACACAATAATTTTAAAATTATACAGCACACGCAAAAATGACCAGCATTTTTAAAATTTGTAAAGTATAAATTATGCTTATTTAAAATATAAATCTACTTTATTGTTGAATCCGACTTTATAAATGGCACTAAAATTTTCAAAATACATTTTCTTTTAACTTTTTCTTAAAATTAAGTACATCTAAACATTGCACACATTGCTTATTAACTAAAAAGACAATTAATTACATAAATGGTTACATTCACAGAGATTTTTTTTGTATAATTATTATTTTACTTGTTTATTACGTCTAAATATACATATTATAGTATAAATATTGTACATTTTGTTCGCACAGAAAAGCACTAGCTACGTCAATATTAAATATTATAGGATTTATTAAGCCTCTGACACACAAGTAGCGTGAGGCGTGACGTGACTGTGGCGCGACATGAGCGTGACGTTGCGTTTCCATACAATTTGTTTGAGGGGATAATGTCGCGAAGATATCGCGTCGCAATCACGCCACGCGCCCTTTACATTGCATCGTAATCACGCGACGCTCACGACATCCTGGTGACCAGGACCTGGTCTCATCCATGCTAGCTGTGTGTAGAGGCTTTATTATAGAAAACATTAACTTTTCACCATAACCACCACCGTAGATGACACCCATAAATCAGTATTTTAAATAAGTATCTGATAACAAATTATAAAGATGTGGCGTCTCACTGTTTAGAGCCTGCTGAATGAATAACTTTGTTTTTTAAATATTTAGGTAGGTATATTAAGTACTACTTATTTACAGGTGTCACCATAGCCATTTAACTAAGCTATACAGGGTGAATTTGCAATCAGGGTCCAAAAATAATTACGATAAAGTTGTATTGTTAAATTGATCTAAATAGTTTATAAAAAAATGGATAATGATGCATGGATTGCAAAGTAACCCTATTTCTCATGATGGTTCCAATATACGGATTTATTATCATAAACTTGTCCTTGCTTTACATTTGACAAGTATTGTTATTACTTACCTACATGAATAAAGTTTTGAATATTTTTTTGCAACATTGACAACTAGCGTAACTTTTAACACCTTCAAAGTCTATAAATTATATACCCGTTTTCTATATCCATTGCTAAGCTCTATTATATTCACCTATGTACATTTACATTTACCAAAAAGTTTGTTAGATTGTCAGGATCAGGACTCGTTGGTTTGAGTATTAAATGCTTTCTTGAATTTTGTTACCATTTTTTTTTTATTTGACAGTTTCAAGATTTTTTTACCACACGGGAAAAATATCTCAAATTCTTTGCTTAGCTCGTTAAGCTGACCAATTAAGTAGGCACAGTCCGCAACAATTTGGCAATCAAGTAAGACTGTTCTGTTGGGACTAGGGACATGTGTACGGGGACCGTCCCACTTTTGGCCCGGATAATGTAACGGGGAGCGGGGACGGTCCCGCTTTTGACTCGGTCTAATCTGTCCCCAAGCATTTAAATCGCGGACGCGAAAATGTTCCAAATCTGAAGTTTAAAATCATGGCCTTAAAAATTCACTATTTGGCAATCAATCGCAGTGTAACGGTCATTATAACTAATAAATTACTATCAAGTGCGTTATGCAAAGTTCGCAACTGGTTGGTGTGTATGGGTTTATTGTATTGCTCTTATAAGTCCTAATTTAGTAATTATGTCTGCTTATAACCTGAAAATATTTCAATTAATATCTTTGAAGTAATTATTGGTCAGATCAATTTGGCGCCATTTTTATCCCGCCATATTGCCCCGCAAGATTGCCAGATTCTATTCGCGAAGACTGTTTCAATGTACACGCAACAGCCAAAGCTCGTAGCGATTAACCAACTCCGTAAATCTTCTTCTATTTACCAAACCTCGCATTTCTTCTCTGGATTCATCTTGGAACCAATCGGGCAGTGGAACTCTTCAGAAAACTCCTTTAGGTTGGATATGGGCCCGATGACTCGATATTTAGCGACAGTGTGGTCGTCCTTTTCGATCTGCATCTTGTTTGATTCCTTGGTCATTGCGGAACACCATACCTGAAAAAAAAACAATAATTTAAGTTTTTTTTTTGGTCGGAACGTTTTGGCGGGAAAGTGAAATGTCATGCAGTTTTTTTTTCTTCGGTTATTTATTGGCTTTGCACGGCTTGTGCGTTACCATTTTATTTTCTAAAATCTGTGATCCACGATCATTACACATTAATAGTCTTACTAATACTTAATGATCGTGGATTCGTGAACGTGCAAATTACAGCGGGGAAGGGTATTTCGCCGAAACAGTAAATTTTCTGTGTCCAGGCTGGCGAACACATGTTTTTTTATATTTATCTGTATAAAACTATTTTTATGGGAAAGTTCATTAAAAGTTTTATTTGTTTTTGCTATTACAATAGCAGAAACTACAAATAAAACCGTAGAAAAACTTAATCAAAAGTCGTTTTTCTAATTTCCTTGTTCTGTCCATTACTGTTGTTTGCCAAAATGAAGGCACATTATAACAAATTGAAGCGTAATTTAATTCTAGTAGCACTCTCTTTATATTTGAGAAACGTTTGGCTATCGAAAAATAAAAACTTTAAATGTCAAAAACTTATAGGAAGAAAATAAAGTGAAGTTAAGTTCTTGTCCAGGTCAAAAGTATAATTTCCCTGGGTCTTCTTTTCGACCATTGTAGTAACGAAACGAAAAAACTTAGAATGTAACGCACTGCACCGTTACAACTCGGCCATTTCGTCCCAAGAGNCGTAAAGTAAAATTTTTAGTATTTCTTTATTGGAATAAGTTTTAAATTTACATTTTAAGAAATGGGTATCAGAATAGATATAGCACAACTTGTTTTTAACTCTTAACTCAATCTACTGCATTTATCTTCCTTAGTTGTGTGAAAACGTTATAATGATATAATATTCATTGGTATGTTTGCTTGCGAAGGTACACTAAAATGGGTCGAATTAAAAAAAAACAAACCACAGAAGAAAACTTAGAGAAAACAATATTTATAATAATTTCCTTGGCTACCAAAAATTCATGACCTCATAACTTTGTTTCTAAAACGAATTATGACACCCCTTTTAGATACATTGGCTTAGTTTTTGCTTCTTAATGCAATGGGAAAATAAAAATAGTTAAAAAAAAACAAAAATTTCGTGCCAAGGAAATTAGGCAAAATCGACCATTTTTGGCGAAATACCCGGAAACGAAAAATAGGGATAAAAAATTTCAAACCACAAATACTAACCTGAGCAAAAGATATAAAGAACAGCTGCCGATGGTTGTAGTTAAGGCCGGGAAGAGTGAGGTTCACTTCGGCTGTCTTGCTGTAGTCCAGGTACGCGTGGAAAGACGCCTTCAGTCCGCCATTGTCAGCGATGTTTTCACCTGTGAGTAAGAAAATTGTTTTTACTTGTGTTTTTTATAAGGATGACAGAGCGGAGGTACATAACGTAGGTAGTTCAAATCTTAGTTCAAATCATACACAGGCATGCTTAGCTATCCATGAATTATCCATTTGTGTCGCTGAATAAAATATTTCATTTTCATTTTCAATTAGGTTACACGTTAAGGGGAATGGAGGTGTCCGATGAAGTGTGATCATGTGTGACAAGGGGTGAGGGGTTTGAAATTTCGAGAAGTTAGGTTTTCGAAAAGTAAAGGTTAAGTTAAAAGTTAGGTATAGAAAAGTTATTTATCAAGCAAGAAGTTAGGTTTTCAAATGTTCTCTCAGCATTTGACGTAAAACATCTCTACTCTCATATGGGCTATGCCCTGCTACTATAGATCGTAATAATATTAGTAAATGTATTGTACTATGTTTCACTCACCCAAAGTCTGTTTTCCGTTCAGATGCTGCCCGTCCATTCTGTACCCAGAGTACTGTTTCTGGATGCATTCAGCTCGCTTCTTGAAGCGCGCAATCGTAGCGTTGTTCCACCATTGGTGCAGGTTTCCAAATCTGAGGATAAAAAAGATTGGCATGAAAAAGTTGCTTCGTTGTAGCTCAGGTCGTAACTAGACAAGTGGTATGAAATAGACACGAACTAAAGTCGCTGATGTCAGCGTTCTTTCCATCTATAATTAGCAAGCTGAAGTGCAAAACTGAGGGCCGATAGGGCAGCAAGGTTCTGGAGTGGAGGTCACGTAGTACCGGAAAGCGCAGCGTAAGACCTCCACCCACAAGGTGGATGAACGACCTCATAAAGGCAGCAGGAAAGCGCTGGATGCAGGCCGCTCCCAACCGGCTAGTATAGAAATCATTGGGCGAGGCCTATATTCAGTAGTGGACGTCCTATGGCTGAAAATTAAATTAGGATGATGATGATGAGAAGTTGCAGCACTTGCAGCGGTAGCAATTATTATGTTGTACTTGTAATTCTGGATTCTTCTCTAATCCTGGACCCATAAAACTGAATTTAGGCCCAAGTTCAAGCTAGCTATATTCCAGTGTTTTAACCATTTCAGGCCTGGCTCACTCCGCGCGGTGCATCCGATAATTACCTACAGTCAATCGTCTTGGGGAGTAAACCTTCTGTATACTATTACTTATTCTGTGACCATTTGCAATTTTGCAGAGTTGTATGTAATCTGGAATATGGATGGACAGTACTACTGGAGTGACGTCTTATTAAGACCTACAATACAATTTGAAAATAGTCGAACGATGAAGGTGTCGGACGGCCGATTCGTGATCCAAGCCAGAAACATGGGTTGCCGTCGTTTGACTATTGTGTTTTGTACACAAGCATATTTAGCTTATCACGAGGGAGATTCGTCGTCGTTCTTTATTACAGCCAAACGATGTCCACTGCTGAACAAAGGCCTCCGCAAGGATTTCCACAATGACCGGTAATGCGCCGCCCGCATCCAGGCACCTCCCGCGACTTCCATCAGATCGTCGGTCCACCTAGTGGGGGGCCTGCCACCACACCACATAACGGGATTATTAGTAGGTAATATTTACTCACCTATCATACTCCCGTCCCTGGTCATCAAAGGCGTGCGTGAGCTCATGTCCCATCACCACTCCCATAGCCCCATAGTTCACACTCTTGGGATTGTCTCCATCGTAGAAAGGCAGCTGCAGGATGCCAGCAGGGAACACGATTTGATTCTTGGTTGGCGTGTAGTAGGCGTTGACAGTTGATGGAGTCATACCTGATGGATAGCAGATGTTAAAAGTTAGCAAAACACCAATATTAAGTTGACCTATGAACACCTATGAAAAACCCCCTTTTCTTTGGGTTTACTAAAAGAGGAAGCTTCTGTCAAAATGTCAATGGAATATGACTCGAAGTGCTCTGTACCATAGATTTTCTCGTGTAAAACCCTGAAAGCTAGTGCTACGTTGGCATTTTGAAGACTTCTGTTTTGCACATAAGTAGCCTAATTTTGTCTGATATAGGTAAAGACAGGTTATTCGTAATCAAAATAACCTCACAACAACAACTACTCAAAAGACTTCACTATGGCAGACAAAAATCAGAAGTTCACTATCGTAGGGTTCACGTTTGCATCCAAAGAATTCTCCTATTATCATTTTACACAGACCCCTCGGAACTAGGGTTCCTCGCACGCGATTTTCGTCTCAATATACCTATCACCATTTTAGGGGATATTCTAAGCAATAAACGTATTGAGTATCTAAACCAGTCTTTCCCAAAGTGGGCGATAACGCCCCCTTGTGGGCGCTGCAGGCTTAAAGGGGCGGTAAGAGACCCCGGAAAAAATCGGGGCATTGTGTAGAGGCTTGGGAGGCGATTTCATCTACTAGGAGGACTCTTAGACACCGACTGAGCACTCGACTCTTGACTACAAAAATGGGGGCGCTAAAAAAGAATTTATTCTCAAAGTGGGCAGTAGACAAAATAAGTTTGGAAACCGCTGATCTAAACCTACCCCATTTAGTCTTGTTAACCGGCTGATCCAGCTTCTTCAGGTCGTTCTTCAAACTAAACACGTTGAACGCGATGTTGTTATCGAAGTACTCATTCGGGTGCACCTCCAGACCCTCGTACTGCTTATCCAACTCATCTTTGTGGAGAATGTAGTCCGGGAACCCTGTGGATATAAAAGGATGAGTATTTTGAAACTAAGAATGATGTTATACTATGATTCACTTTAGTTTGTTTATGGATCTCCTCATTTCTGATTCGATCTCGTAAAGAAACACCGAGCATAGCTCTTTCCATAGCACGCTGTGCAATTTTGAGCTTCTTTATGAGATAGTGAGAGGCCACGCTTCCCAGCCGTATGTCATAACTGGTAACACACACCGAAGCGGAAAGGCGTTGGATGCAGGCCGCTTCCAAGCGTGCGATGTGGAAGTCATTGGGGGAGGCCTATGTTCAGCAGTGGATATCCTGTGGCTGAAATGATGATGATGACATCATTCACTGGTTGGATCTATTGGTGGTGGTAGATCCTGGCTATACAGGAGTTGCAGCAGTGAGTAGCCTCATAATTATGTACGCAAGTTCAATAACTGATGTCCAGGGACGATCAACACGAGTTGAAATCGGAATTAGGTGAGAGAAATCTAGTAGAATTATTATATGATACTAGCTGACCCGGCGAACTTCGTACCGCCTTAGCGTAGAGATTTTCTTAATATTTTTTTCCGTAAGAACCATCCTTGGACTTCCACAAACATTTAAAAAAAAGAATTATCGAAATCGGTTCAGCCGTTCACACGTGATGCCGTGACAACGCGAAACGGGTTTCATTTTTATATATATAGAAGATAAGCCACTTTATTGATGTCACTTTTGCAGAGGCTTAGCTCTGCTTTTTTGTTGCCTTGATGATCCAAGTAAGACGTTATAAACGCTTTTTATAGAGTCTGACACTGACTATAGTAGTGACTCAAAAGATAGGGATATACTGATACTACAAGCTCAATCATTAAACATAGCAAGTCCTTTCAGTTCCAAAAGTGGAATATGGACATTCTTCTTCCTATAAATCACCAGTAAACGCTACAATGTTTAGTGCATTAACTGTTTTTCAATCAGACTCAATTCAATAGCAGTAATTTCTTACCAATCATATCAGTAATCGCATCGGCCTTAGTTTCAGCAGCTTCTCTGGTCTCCACGTCCATCCAGTCCAGGTTCTTCAGGTTCTCCTTGAAGGCTGTTTTGATGTTGTTTATCATGCCCTCCCCTTGGGTCTTCGCCTCGCCTTTGAATACTTCGCGGACAAACATCGCTCCTACTGCGAAACCTGAAAAAAAATGTTTTCTACTGTAGTAAGTATGTCGACATATTAATTTAAAGAAAGTGACATTATAAAGACTATTTTTCCACATTTACCTATGGACTAATGCTTATTTTTTAGGTTAAGTAAGTTAGTTTTCCAAAACCTAAACCTTCCGAAAACCTAACTAAGTATAGCAGAAATTCTAAATGAAGAATGTAATTGTAGAACCAATTTGCATGCCATTGGGTCTCAATCAACGCACAAAAGACAATGCCGGAAATTGGCGTCTTTTTTTTTCGCGCGGCCATCGACCAAACCTTGTTTTTTGATTACAAAATAGTGTAATAAACCAAACTTACTATGACATGTAAACCTTTAAACTCAGTCTGAACTGAGTTACGAGTNCTATGAAAGGCTATTTTTCTTTAGGTTTATTAAAAGAGGAAGTTTGTGTCAAAATGTCATGGAATATGAGTCGAAGTATTCTGTGCTATAGATTTTCTCGTGCAAAACCTTGCAAGTTTGTGCTACGTTGGCATTTTGAAGACTTCTGTTGTGCTTCTGTTTTGTACATAACTTACTTATGTACAAAACAGAAGCACAACAGATAATTATTTGATAATTTTGTCTGATATAAGGTAGGTAAAGACAGGTATTACTTCGATAGTGAGTGTAGTCGCTCCCTCCGGTCACGCCGGCCGCGGGCAATATCCGTGAGTAGACAACATCCGTAATCAAAATAACCTCACAACAAAACTACTCAAAAGACTTCACTATGGCAGTCAAAAATCAGAAGTTCAATATCGTAGGGTTTACGATTGCATCCAAAGAATTATCTTATTTTCACTTTACATAATATGCCCATTTTCACCATCAATCCCTAATTTTTAAGTGAACCCTATGGTAACAAATAACAGGAGTTTAATATTTTCATAGGGGGTCACTTAAAAAGTTGGGATTGATGGTGAAAACGGGCAATAGACCCCTCGGAACTAGGGTTCCTAGCAATCTACCTTCGTCTCAATACATATACCTATCATCATTTTTGGGGATATTCTGAAACATCTAAACCCACCCCATTTAGTCTTGTTAACCGGCTGATCCAGCTTCTTCAGGTCGTTCTTCAGACTGAACACGTTGAACGCAATATTGTTATCGAAGTACTCATTCGGGTGCACCTCCAGACCCTCGTATTGCTTGTCCAGCTCGTCTTTGTGGAGAATGTAGTCCGGGAACCCTGTGGATATAAAAGGATGAGTATTTTGAAACTAAGAATGATGTTGTACTATGATTCACTTTAGTTTGTTTATGGATCTTTTCATTTCTGATTCGATCTCGTAAAGAAACACCGAGCATAGCTCTTTCCATAGCACGCTGTGCAATTTTGAGCTTCTTTATGAGATAGTGAGAGGCCACGCTTCCCAGCCGTATGTCATAACTGGTAACACACATCGAAGCGGAAGGCGCTGGATGCAGGCCGCTACCAACCGTGTGCTGTGGAAGTCATTGGAAGAGGCCTAATGTTCAGCAGTGGACGTCCTGTGGCTGAAATGATGATGATGACGTCATTCACTGGTTGGATCTGTTGGCGGTGGTAGATCCTGGCTATACAGGAGTTGCAGCAGTGAGAAGCCTCATAATTATGTACGCAAGTTCAATAACTGATGTCCAGGGAAGATCAACACTCATTGTTACATAATATTAGCCACTTTATTGATGTCACTTTTGCAGAGGCTTAGCTCTGCTTTGTTGTTGCCTTTATGATCCAAGTAAGACGTCTTCTAAACGCTTTTTATAAAGTCTGACACTGACTGTAGTAGTGACTCAAAAGATAGGGACATACTGATACTAAAGCCTGGTCTGCGAGCACGTAGAATTTTGTCCATTGACCCCAAGCTACCCATCCTTATCGCTCGCACGTAATTATATTGCTGTCACGACTGTGCGACGGGCGGTCGGAGTGAGTGTGCAGACTATACACTAAAAATAGCAAGTCCTTTCAGTTCCAAAAGTGGAATAGGGAAATTCTTACTTGCTATAAGTATCACCAGTAAACGCTACAATGTTTAGTGCCTTAACTGTTCTTCAACCATGCTCAATTCAATAGCAGTAATTTCTTACCAATCATATCAGTAATCGCATCAGCCTTAGTTTCAGCAGCTTCTCTGGTCTCCACGTCCATCCAGTCCAGGTTCTTCAGGTTTTCCTTGAAGGCCGTTTTGATGTTGTTTATCATGCCCTCCCCTTGGGTCTTCGCCTCGCCTTTGAATACTTCGCGGACAAACATCGCTCCTACTGCGAAACCTGAAAAAAAATGTTTTCTACTGTAGTAAGTATGTCGACATATTAATTTAAAGAAAGTGACATTATAAAGACTATTTTTCCACATTTACCTATGGACTAATGCTTATTTTTTAGGTTAAGTACTTAAGTTAGTTTTCCAAAACCTAAACCTTCCGAAAACCTAACTAAGTATAGCAGAAATTCTAAATGAAGAATGTAATTGTAGAACCAATTTGCATGCCATTGGGTCTCAATCAACGCACAAAAGACAATGCCGGAAATTGGCGTCTTTTTTTTTCGCGCGGCCATCGACCAAACCTTGTTTTTTGATTACAAAATAGTGTAATAAACCAAACTTACTATGACATGTAAACCTTTAAACTCAGTCTGAACTGAGTTACGAGTATTAGAAGTTTGATGATTTTACATACTAGGTTTGCTTTTTGCGCGCAAGTTTTGTAAGAAATTGCAACAAAATAGTGACATTGTATGTGTAAACAAACAATACCATCCATTGAAGGCTCCAGACATCAGTATGAAGTAGAATCAGCGCAATAAAAAATAGCGCAATATTTTGTTGCAATTTCTTACAAAACTTGCGCGCAAAAAGCAAATCTAGTACCTATGTAAAATCATCAAACTTCTAATGCTCGTAACTCAGTTCAGACTGAGTTTAGAGGTATACATGCCTTACTAAGTTTGGTTTATTGCACTATTTTGTAATCAAAAAACAAAGTTTGGTCGATGGCCGCGCGAAAAAAAAGACGCCACCTTCCATACAAAATCCGGCATTGCCATTTGTACAGAAAATCATTAGGGATACCTTAGAGAACCAGGGCAAGACGTTTGATAAAACAACTCTTATTTAATGCTTTCCAATGTAATAAATTAGCTAAAGTAAATCTGAGTTATTATTTTTATTGTTTCATGAGACCTTAAACCCAACAATTTAGTAACATTGATTTCTGTTTAGTACTAAACGGTAGTGGTTGTAATTTACGCGGAGTTGCGCAAGGCTCTCACATAGGCCCAGCATGTTATTTTCCTATAATAATTTAATCAATAATGTTAAAACTAAGACGAATTAAACACAAAGACATACCTATAGCATTGTTAGTATCAGTGACGCAGTATCTCCAAGATTCCTCCGTCCCCTCTGACCCAAACAGAGCCTTTCTCAATATCTTCGTCGCATCTCGGAAAGACTTCGACAAATACGTGGAGAGTGACCTCGACACTTGCCACATCATGTAACTAGTCAACGTCCTGAAATATAATAACTTAAATATAGTAAATATTAGTTTAGTGGTATGGTTCCGGTAGAGTAAAATAGGACCATAACTATTCCTGCGGATGTCGTAAGAGCGATTAGAGGTCGTCGCACATTCATTAACCCGAAAAGGGATCGTAACCGTATCAACTCGAGGTAGTCAGTATTCTTTGTATGAAACTCCATACTGCAACGTACACTTATCCGCGCCGTAACGTAAATGCCTCGCCTCGCAATTGACAGGTGCGAAAGGTGATACGGTGTTGATCCCTTTCCGAGTTGATAAGTCTGCTATGAACTTTAAGGAAAAATATGCGAAAATCGGGTCTACCCAACCCTTCTGGCCAGCATGAGGAGTGTCTTAGACCAAATTCTCTATTTAGTAAATTAGAAAAGCTAAACTAAATAGCCTGATGACAACGTTGATAATAATGATGGAATATTTTTACTTACTTCTGGTCATGGTCTGTCCGGTTGTATTTCTCTATAACTTTCGAGAGATTCCTGAAATAATCAGGAGCGTAGACAACTATTCTTTCATCGTCAGATATCTGCAAAAAAACATTTAATTTGATACCATTTTCATTTAATCTTTCGAAGTACAGTCTCGACAATAGGTATACAGACTACACTTATGGCGAAATAGCATCTATGGCACAAGTGACCACATTAATCCTTCAAGGCCCGCGAATCTAGACACAATAGATAATCAATTGTTATGACATTAATTAATGCCGTCTGGGACTCAAGCGGTTAAGTATTAAACCCATCAAACCCAAAGCGGTGGCATAAGACCGCGTACCTACAAATGATTTCTATTGTGTCTCGAATACCAGGGTTTGAAGGGTTAAGTTTGATATGCTGTCGTCATCGTCAACTTACATTTCTATCAACCAGCTTAAAAGCATCATTGAAGAACATGGTCCAGTTCAAAAATGGAGCCTCCTTTTGCCATTGCTTTATCGTAAATGGATTATACAGGCCCTCCTCATCTCTCCTGTCTTCAGAAGGAGTTGTGATATTGGCCAGGTCTGTCTCAAACTGGATGACCCTGCTCATCTGGATTCTGGCTTCAGTTTTGTTAGCTCCAAGGAGAATGCATATCCGGGTCATGTAGTCCAGGTAAGCATCGAGGACTTTCTTGTGGGCTGTTTTGTTGAGGTAGTTGTCGCGGGTTGGCAGATTCAGACCACCTTGGTCCAGCTGGAAGAAGGTTAAGTTTCATCAGTGATATGACAAAACGATTAATTTATAATCGATTGTTTGGCTTAGAAATAGAATTATAAATAACTTGAAAAAATTGAACTGCCTAAGGCGGGAATTGAACCCTCGACCTTTCGCTTGCCGGCGACTGCTCTTCCAACTGAGTTACTTAGACTAGTTTAAATAGTTTGAGTAGTTTAAGTAGTTTAAATAATTATCAATAGAAATCGATAACAAATATTTTCAAAATAGTTAACCTTGGGTGTAAGTTAGAAAGTTTTAAAAAGAAGTGAGAGAAAGGAAAACTTACAACTATGACGTGCTTCGAAGAATTCCGATCGTCTTCTGTTACTGCCCAGTTGAAAAGACCGCCCAAGTTGTAACTGGAAATTATTAAAATCATAAAATAATTAAGTTACTTTTTAATCACTACTTAGTAACTCATAAAGATTAAAGTTTGAATCTCTGGAAAAAACAGCATAGTTTTTATCCAGATTTTTAAGGGGAACACGTGCGCGATTAAGACTTTTTGTGATAGCCCGAAATTCAGACGGACAAAGCCATAGGAACAAACTATATTAGTTCTAGCGCTTTACTCAGTCAGTGCCTGAGGTAAGGGAGAGGCACGGGAGGGGTGACATTGACATATTATGACGTAACAAAGGATACAACTCTGAAGTCTCACTGACCTTGGACGTCTCAAAAATACCCTCCCGTGCCTCTTCCATACCTCAGGCACTAAACCTAACAAATCTATGGGAGAACCGGGTTTGACAGCTCAAAAAAAGTATGCCAAATTGACTGGAGATCTCAATAGGCTAGTTTCCTAAAAAAATTTTTTTAGTCCGTCAATTTTAATTAAAAAAAAATTGGACACGTAGGTACCTAATCAAACAAATACCTAATCACAAAGTTATAGTGCGTTGAAGTTCCGCGCGACATCACCAAGTGCTGCACTTTTACGGACGTCGTTACTTACTGACGTCACGGGCCTTTTCTTTAGAACTTTGGCACGCTTTATCTCTTTACATTTTCATTAGTTTTAAAAAGTGAAAAATACGTATCGAGTAATTTTTGATAGGCTAACTGACGGACTAATTAAAACTCTTACTTTTATACCCAGGAAACATCCCTGTGGACAAAAGCCTCCCCCAAGGATTTCCATAATGACCGGTCCTACGCCTTAAAAAGATTAATAGACTTACGTATTCTGAACGTCCTGCAGCAGCGTTTGCAGATCCCACTTGTGCTGCTTCACCATGGTGTTTGGGAGGATATGCCATCCCCCCAATTTCTTGATGACGTTCACCAAAGGCTTCTCTGCCAGCTTCTCGATTGTCTCGTTGGTGTCGATGCAGGCGTCGTAGTAGATCCTGGCTTTAGCTTCTGCACCTCCGTCAGATGTGTTGACCTTTTCTGGAATAATAAAATGGCTTCATCATCATCAGGTCGTTTAGTTTCTTCTACTGCAGGAGTACGGCCCTCTCTAATTTACCAGAGGCATACCGACGACCTCATAAAGGTAGCAGGAAGGCGCTGGATGCAGGCTGCTACCAACCGGGCGATGTGGAAATCACTGGAGGAGTCGTATGTTCAGCAATGGACGTCCTGTGACTGAAATGATGATGATGATGAAATGGATTTGACCTACACTCTTCATGCTGTCCAGACAGCGAATTGCGCATTAGACACTAGCCTCATTGCATCTGTGTATCACAGGCTGCTTATTAGTTTTAATAAACAACGTTAATTTTGCTAATTTACTGATGAGCATTTCAACTGAACTTGAAACAAAATATTTTACATCGAATAACGTCTTTAATTTCAGGAAAAACCAGCTGAATCTAACAAAACAATAACGTAGTTTCAGTATTTGCATTTCGTATAAAATGTGTACAAACAATAATGGCCAAAAGAGGGTGTCTAACCAAACGGCATATTTGCACGCACAACGATGACTTGTGAATTCGCAATGGGACTCTAATTTGATATACCTACCTAATGCTTGCGAAGCGAATATTATACAGACCCAAAAAAGTGATAACAATAGGTAGGGTCAGCATAAAATAATATTTAAAACTGGTTCCACTTTTCGAAAAAGAAACTAGCACATTTAGTACCACAAGGTGGACCGACGACATCATAAAGGTAGCAGAAAAGTGCTGGACGCAGGCCGCTACCAACCGGGTAGCATGGAAAACATTGGGGGAGGCCTATGTTCAGCAGTGGACGTCCTATGGCTGAGATGATGATGATGATGAAGAAAGGACCATGTCAAAGGAACCTATAAAGCTTCCATTATAAGAGATTGCTTTTGGCAACATACTGAAATGAATAAACATAAAGTAGGTACAGAAACAGTTTAATTTGTCATCCCCATTATTGATAGAATCCCAAGAACTCTGTGTGCGTGAGGTCTCAGTAAAGTATCACATACTGAATCTCAAGAGAAGCGATCCCCGCTATATCATCTCCTACTTAAGAATGCATCAATATCGTTAGAAAATACTAAGGAAAAAGAAAAATAAGGTAATTAACTTTGACACGTACTGGCCATAATTATGAAGAAACCGCCCATAGCNGCGTTACACGCGCACCTACAACCAAAAAATAAAAAAAATAAAAAGTAAATTAATTCCAGCAGTATTGGTCGTCTAAACATATAATTTAATTTCAATTAGTGTCAAATATATAGTTATGATGTCATTAGAAATAAAATAATAATCATGAAACAAGTATTTAATATGGTGTTATAATGGTGTTACAAATAGTATGTCCGGAGAGAAAAAAATTCAATTTTCAAGTAGTGATGTCAGGCTACAGCAGTCTCGATCGTCTTGCCCACTTCCGTGCTTGATCGTCTGAAACCTTTAGGTAAGCATACAAGTAACCTACTCCAGTATTTGTTCGTTAAAAATGTGTTCCCGGTATTTCTTTTTAAAAGTGTACAATTTACATCGAATAACGTCTTTAATTTCAGGAAAAACCAGCTGAATCTAACAAAACAATAACGTAGTTTCAGTATTTGCATTTCGTATAAAATGTGTACAAACAATAATGTCCAAAAGAGGGGATCTAACCAAACGGCATATTTGCACGCACAACGATGACTTGTGAATTCGCAATGGGACTCTAATTTGATATAATGCTTGCGAAGCGAATATTATACAGACCCGAAAAAGTGATAACAATAGGTAGGGTCAGCTAAAAAAATATTTTAAAACTGGTTCCACTTCACGAAAAAGAAACTAGCACATTTAGCTGTACATAAGGAAAGACCATGTCAAAAGGAACCTAAGAAGCTTCCATAGAAGAGATTGCTCTTGGCAACATACTGAAATGAATAAAGTATGTACAATAAAGTATGCATAATAAAGTATGTACAATAATAAAATAGGTACAGAAACAGTAATTTGTCATCCCCATTATTGATAGAATCCCAAGAACTCTGCGTGCGTAAGGTCTCAGTAAAGTATCACAAAGTACATACTGAATCTCACGAGAAGCGATCCCCGCTACATCATCTCCTACTTTACAATGCATCAAATATCTTTAGAAAATACCAGGAAAAAGAAAAATAAGGTAATTTCACTGTACTTTGACACGTACTGGCCTTATGAAGAAACCGCCCAAAGCAAAAAAAAAGAGAAAAGAAGATAAATATTACATTTTTGACGACAGTACATCTCAATAATAGTTTTAGAGTACATGTAAATAGCTAACCTCTTTATAAGGTATGATAGGCGTTCACGTATGTTTGCTTATATTTTTTGAGAGGCGATAATTTCTGCAACAGTTCCTATTGGCCAGTATTTAGGAGGAAAACGCGAAAGACTGTTTCAACTCGCTAAACAAAATGCAATAAATAAAAAGGCAAGTAACAACAGCAATCAATGTCTTTTGTTTTTGCTACAAGTCGTAGCTGTCATTTTTCAATGAATAAAATTAAATAATAAAAAACTCTTTATATCCTTGGAGTTACACATTCGTAAAGATAAACAAATAATAGTAGGTACCTAGTAAATAATAGTTGAAGAACTACGCTACATCTCATCATAAATAACTAAACACAGTATAAGAAGAAAAGACTAGAATCTAGCTAGATCACTACGAATTGAATAAGGTATATCCCATTGAAGACAAACAAGGAATTTACATATGAAATAGGTGCATAGAACACCGTTGGAGACATAAAATAAATTTGCATAAAAATGCATGTACTAGTTTGATTGTTACACAAATCATCTTACAGAGGTTAGTAACAAAACTGTTAGTAATTGGAATAGTTCCCAACAACTGCCGATTCATGGTCAAGTTCAGATTGACCTTGACCCGAGAGGCTTGTAGTACGCAGGTCAATATATCGATCAGACCTGTCTCCATAAAGCAGGTAGAGAACAGTAAGGTCAGTATTATCAAATGATACTCGAGTATCAATCTTTATTCAGGGCTGATTCAAAGTAACTATACTGGAATGCTGAAATTTAATGAGCTCGAATCTTGAGTTCAGGTTTGAATCGATACAAACGAGAACCAAAAATTGCTTTATCTCTCCGGTAGTTGGCATTGAAACACTTTTCCAGGGTAATAATCAAGTTAAATCTTACCTTCCACCATAGATGTTTATATAGGAAAAACTAAAGTTTTCCTTCATAAAGTAAGTGCGCAAACGAAAAAGGATTTTCTAACAGTTACAGAGTGCTGTTTTTCTAACAAAGAAAAGCTACTACAAAGAAGTACACACTGTGACCAGAATCGAGACGCCTCGTGGAGAAAGTTCAACGAGGAAATTAATGTGGCAGAAAATGAGGAAAACTCGATGGAGAGAAATAATTTGAATCTCTATGCAAAGGTAGTAAAGTCTTGTCAAGGTTGTGTTCACGTTACCATATCACATCAGTCATTGGCAGTTTCATTCTAGAGTTAAGTCTACAATGAGCATGACTATGGACGATAGAATTGGTCCATCGAGCAAAGGACGCCTTAGGCCCAGAACAGATGGTGAAACGCAACTGCAACTAAACTGCAACTGCTAGTTACTTTTGAGTTGCATCTAAGTTTCTGCCATATAGTCCGTTGAGAAACCACACATGACGCGACCAGTTTGAAACTTTCAGTTTCAGTTTCATTCAATCATCAGAAAGTTGCAGTTTCGTTGCAGTTGCGTTTCACCATCTGTTCTGGGCCCTACAGAACATTTTCTGAGACGTGATCTTCATTTGAGAAATCGTTTACTAAAACTTTCATGAGTTCTGCGATATCGCCGGCGCACTTTTGCTTGCTACATTAATTTGGTCATCTCCCGTAAGCTCCAATCGGCCAGAAATATTGTTTTACCAAACCTATCAATATTTGAGTTATAAATGAAGTAGGTTTAGTGATATTCCCATTCCCGTTTGAGCGTGTACATACATCTACTAAAATATTATTCGGAAACCGGGCCTTTACTACTAGCATAGTAGAATAGGTACCTACTCACCAAGAGCATATCGTATGATCAGCTGATTCTGCAGCTCAATCTTGCTGAAGATCCCCCAACTGGACTTCCCCTCAGGGATGGGGTTGTTCCTGATCCAGCCTCCACACGCGAACTCATAGAAGTCGTTGCAAGGATCCTTACTGGTGTCCAGCGCCCTGATGACCTCGCTGGCGGTGTAGATGCAAGAACTGGACAGGCAGACTGGTGATTCTGGAAGATAGAGAATACCCTTTATTGTACACTACTCCATAGTTTACGTACACTCCGCTTTGCACTGGAGAGAAGTCGAACCTTCTTCTAACTCCTATGTTCTTCTGATTAATTTCGTTGCAGATTATTTTGCAGATCAGTTTTTTATGTTGTTTAACTTTGCTAACAAAAGATAATTTCATCATTCAAAATTCAAATCATTCTGTAGTTTCTTCATTGGTTTTGATAAAAAATATATACCAATAACATGCATTTAATCATTACTTAGTTAAATATCTCAACAATGGAAAATAACAAAACCTTGAAAGGAGAAACCTGATTAATTACTTTTTCCTACTCTAACAAAGACTGATTTCTTTCCATACTAATTGAGTATTGTAGACATTTATAATAAACTAGCGGCCGCCCGCGACTTCTTCCGCGTGGATCCCGTAATTACCCCCTTAGGGGTTGAATTTTGAAAAATCCCGTCTTAGTCATCACCTACGTACTAGAAGGAACCCCCATGAGACTCGCACTTGTACTCATGAGTAAGTGAGTCAATCAGTGACCTTTCGCTTTTATAGATATCGGTAATTATGTATACCATCTTCAGTCAGTCCATCTGTACGAGTATCAATCATCTGTATAAGACACATTTTACTACATTTTATGGGTATTCTTATGGCGCAGACATCTACATTTTATGGGTATTCTTATGGCGCACTGAGACTGAGAGCAAGTTTAATATTCACAACATACCTAATACTTACTACGGTATTTAAGATAAACGCGATATTATTTTAATCTTAAAGAAAATCCTCGAGTTTTGACCTTCAGGTTTAAATGGAATGACTTCGCACAAGAGATTCGCTATATTTTCCGCATAATTGTTATGGATGTCACATACTGTCTGAAACCACTTACGTAGATATTATGAGCTTTTCCTCGACTGGTAATCTAAAAAAACCCAATGAGGAAGGATATTTCCACTCATACTTACAGTTGAGTTTATAATTAAAATCCATCCAGTGTCTAACCTCCTGGGGCCTGGCGTCATATATTTATTACATAAAACAAAAAAATATAAATCAACGCTATCTGTTGAAATTTACCAGAACTTTTACGTTAGTTAGTTAGATGGTGCATCTGTCCATCATTCTTAGCTGTGATTGGCTAGTGAAGTGACATTTAAATTTTTTTATCTTTAATAGCTGACCCGGCGAACTTCGTACCGCCTTAGCGTAGAGATTTTCTTTATATTTTTTTCCGTAAGAACCATCCTTGGACTTCCACAAACATTTTAAAAAAAAAATTATCGAAATCGGTTCAGCCGTTCACACGTGATGCCGTGACAACGCGAAACGGGTTTCATTTTTATATATATAGATTGAACTAGCGACGGCGCCGCGACCGGGAACAAGTGGTTAGTAATAATGAATTTTTTACTAAAATATAAACTATTTCTATAAGCCTTTGTTATTATTCGTTTTGGGATTTGAACTGTTTTATTATCTGAGTATCACTGATTGTGGAAATACGTATGAAAACTACGAAAACCATGGTGAAATCTGAATGTCATACAGGTATTACATGAGGTCCCAATTACTAGTGTAAACTGACAGAGCCCAGTGTAATACCTGTATGACATTATACATTTTCTATTAAATAGCATACAATCTGATATAATTTTCTTATTTGTTTCNGCTAGATCACTACGAATTGAATAAGATATATCCCATTGAAGACAAACAAGGAATTTACATATGAAATAGGTGTATAGAACACCGTTGGAGACATAAAATAAATTTGCATAAAAATGCATGTACTAGTTTGATTGTTACACAAATCATCTTACAGAGGTTAGTAACAAAACTGTTAGTAATTGGAATAGTTCCTAACAACAGCCGATTCAGGGTCAAGTTCAGTTTGACCTTGACCCGAGAGGCTTGTAGTACGCAGGTCAATATATCGATCAGACCTGTCTCCATAAAGCAGGTAGAGCACAGTAAGGTCAGTATTATCAAATGATACTCGAGTATCAATCTTCATTCAGGACTGATTCAAAGTATAACTGGTAATACTGAAATTTAGTCAAATGGAATCTTGAGCTCAAGTTTGTATCAAGTTTTGAGATTTTAGTCTTGATTGAATTAGTACATAAAAGCGATCCAAAAATTGACAAATCTCTCCTGTTAGTCGGCATTGAAACTCTTTTTTAATGTAGTAAACAGGTTAAATCTTACCTTCCACTATAGATTTTATAGGAAAAACTACAGGTTTCCTCCATAAAATGCACTAACGAAAAAAGATGTTCTAACAGTTACTGAGAGCTGTTTTTTCAACAAAGAAGAGCTACTACAAAGAAGTTTACATTGTGTCCAGAACAGAGACGCCTCGTGGAGAAAATTCAACGAGGAAATTAATGTGGCAGAAAATGTGGAAAACTCGATGGAGAGAAATAATTTGAATCTCTATGCAATGGTCATATCACATCAGTCATTGGCAGTTTAGTATCTTAGCATCGGTCTACCGAACAAAGGACGCCCTACAGATTTTTTTCTGAGACGTGATCTTAATTTGAGAACCCGTTTATTCCAACTTTCATGGGTTCTGCGATAGATATAGCCGAAGCACTTTTGCTTGCTACATTAATTTGGTCATCTTCCGTAAGCTCCAGTCGGCCAGAAATGTTATTTTAACCAAACCTACCTAAATTTAAAGTTATAAATGAAGTAGGTTTAGTGATATTCCCATTACCGTTTGAGCNTGCAACGTACACTTATCCGCGACGTAACGTAAATGCCTCGCCTCGCAATTGACAGGTGCGAAAGGTGATACGGTGTTGATCCCTTTCCGAGTTGATAAGTCTGCTATGAACTTTAAGGAAAAATATGCGAAAATCGGGTCTACCCAACCCTTCTGGCCAGCATGAGGAGTGTAGACCAAATTCTCTATTTAGTAAATTAGAAAAGCTAAATTAAATAGCCTGATGACAACGTTGATAATAATGATGGAATATTTTTACTTACTTCTGGTCATGGTCTGTCCGGTTGTATTTCTCTATAACTTTCGAGAGATTCCTGAAATAATCAGGAGCGTAGACAACTATTCTTTCATCGTCAGATATCTGCAAAAAAACATTTAATTTGATACCATTTTCATTTAATCTTTCGAAGTACAGTCTCGACAATAGGTATACAGACTACACTTATGGCGAAATAGCATCTATGGCACAAGTGACCACATTAATCCTTCAAGGCCCGCGAATCTAGACACAATAGATAAAATCAATTGTTATGACATTAATTAATGCCGTCTGGGACTCAAGCGGTTAAGTATTAAACCCATCAAACCCAAAGCGGTGGCATAAGACCGCGTACCTACAAATGATTTCTATTGTGTCTCGAATACCAGGGTTTGAAGGGTTAAGTTTGATATGCTGTCGTCATCGTCAACTTACATTTCTATCAACCAGCTTAAAAGCGTCATTGAAGAACATGGTCCAGTTCAAAAAAGGAGCCTCCTTTTGCCATTGCTTTATCGTAAATGGATTATACAGCCCCTCCTCATCCCTTCTGTCTTCAGAAGGAGTGGTGATATTGGCCAGGTCTGTCTCAAACTGGATGACCCTGCTCATCTGGATCCTGGCTTCAGTTTTGTTAGCTCCCAGGAGAATGCATATCCGGGTCATGTAGTCCAGGTAAGCATCGAGAACTTTCTTGTGAGCTGTTTTGTTGAGGTAGTTGTCGCGGGTTGGCAGATTCAGACCACCTTGGTCCAGCTGGAAGTAGATAAAACGTATTTATCTAATGATTAATTACTTTATTCATCTAATGATTAGATTCTAATCGATAAAAAAATACTATTATAGGTGTAAAGTTTCAAAATGTAGTGAAAGAAAGGAAAACTTACAACTATGACGTGCTTCGAAGAATTCCGATCGTCTTCTGTTACTGCCCAGTTGAAAAGACCGCCCAAATTGTAACTGGAAATTATTAAAATCATAAAATAATTAAGTTACTTTTTAATCACTTACGTAGGAACTCATATAGATTTAAGCTCGAGACTCTGGAAAAAACACAGCATAGCTTTTATCCTGGTTTTTGAAGAGGAACACGTGCGCGATAAAGACTTTTTGTGATAGCCCGAAATTCAGACGGGAAAAGCCATAGGAACAAACTATAGTACTAGAGTTTAACTCAGTCAGTGCCTGAGGTACGGGAGCGACACGGGAGGGGTGACATTGACATATTATGACGTGACAGAGTTTACAATAAATCTGAAGCATAATCTGAAGTCTCACTGACCTTGGACGTCTCAAAAATACCCTCTCGTGCCTCTTCCATACCTCAGGCACTAAACCTAACAAATCTATGGGAGAACCGGGTTTGACAAAGTATGTCAATTGATTAGTGGTGTCAATTAGATCTTCGTTAGTTTCAGCCAAATGACGTCCACCGCTGGACAAAGGCCTCCCCCAAGCATTTCCAAAACGATCGGTCCTGCACCTTGCGTACGATATTCGCCCTGACGCATTCCGCGCGATGCCATAAAGCAGCGTAAACATGGTGTTGCAATTATTTTGCTTCGTTGGCAGCATTTAAGATTAATGGGCTTACGTGTTCTGGACGTCCTGCAGCAGCGTTTGTAGATCCCACTTATGCTGCTTCACCATGGTGTTTGGGAGGATATGCCATCCTCCCAGTTTCTTGATGACGTTCACCAAAGGCTTCTCTGCCAACTTTTCGATTGTCTCGTTGGTGTCGATGCAGGCGTCGTAGTAGATCCTGGCTTTAGCTTCTGCACCTCCGTCAGATGTGTTGACCTTTTCTGGAATGATAAAATGGCTTCATCATCATCGGATATTTTAGTTTCTACTGCAGGAGCAGTCCTGGATCTGTCAATAGGCCGTATAGGCAGCGGCCTAGGGGCGGCAGCGTCCTAGGGGCGGCAGATTTCAGATGACGCTTACTCGATTTCAGAAGATAAAAGTTAAATAAAGATCCAACCCCACCCTAGACTACGGGCGGCAAAACTGTAAATCCGCCACTGTGCAGGAGCATGGCCCTCTCTAATTTCGTTTGTTTCAACCGAATGACGTCCACTGCTGGACAAAGGCCTCCCATCACCTTTTGCTTTTCTCACTCACTCTTGCTGTCTTGCTTGATCCTTCCTTGTGATTCGTTTGTGTTTTAGCTTTAATTTTCGGAACTTTATTAAACAAACTTGGCTATTCAAACGGACTCTGATTGATTGCAATAACGACATACTCAGGCTCCAAGGATTATTATCACAACGACGGGTCCTGCGCTTTCTGCATCCTGGCACTTCCCTCTCTAATTTACCAGAGGCAAATAGTTTTGGCTTACACTCCTCATGCTGGTTAGACAATCTGGTATTGCAAATTACATAGATAATATGAACCTCCTTTCATCTGTGTTAGTTAATGCTTTTTTTTTACTTATAATTTAAATTAATTAAAATTCTCACCATTATTTACATCCTTTTCAGTAAGAAAAGTCATCAGCCAATCTAGTTATTCAATCGTTAGTGATTTTAGCGAAACTAAATTAAATCGTACCGTTTAAGTCTGCAGACATAACTACGTGTTTTAATTACTTATAATTTACTAGCTTTCCGCCCGCGGCTTCGCCCGCGTGGAATTTTGTCTGTCACAGAAAAACTTTATCGCGCGCGTCCCTGTTTCAAAAACCGGGATAAAAACTATCCTATGTTCTTTCCCGGGACTCAAACTATCTCTATGCCAAACAAAATCGGTTGCGAGGTTTAAGCGGGAAAGCGTAACAGACAGACAGACAGACAGAGTTACTTTCGCATTTATAATATTAGTTGGGATAGTAAAGACATAACTTTTACCTACATTCACGCAGAGTCACAAACTAAACTTGAAACAAAATAATTTAGAAAGAAAGAAAGNTCTGATTCGATCTCGCAAAGAAACACCAAGCATAGCCCTCTCCGTGCGTGTACATACATCTACTAAAATATTATTCAGAAACCGGGCCTTTACTACTAGCATAGTAGAATAGGTACATACTCACCAAGAGCATATCGTATGATCAGCTGATTCTGCAGCTCAATCTTGCTGAAGATGCCCCAGCTGGACTTCCCCTCAGGGATGGGGTTGTTCCTGATCCAGCCTCCACAGGCGAACTCGTAGAAGTCGTTGCAAGGATCCTTACTGGTGTCCAGCGCCCTGATGACCTCGCTGGCGGTGTAGATGCAAGAACTGGACAGGCAGACTGGTGATTCTGGAAGATAGAAAATAAACTTTATTGTACACTGCGCTTTGCACTGGAGAGAAGTCGAACCTTCTTCGAATTCCTATTTTCTTCTGATTAATTTCGTTGCAGATTATTTTGCAGATCAGTTTTTTATGCTGTTTATCTTTGCGAGGACAAAAGATAATTTTGTCAAAATTCAAGTCATTCTGTAATTTCTTCATTGGCTTTGATAAATTGGTATTTTAATTTAACTTTAAAATAGGTACATTCCATTAACGAGTTAATCATTGCTTAGTTAAATATCTTTACAATGGAAAATAACAAAACCTTGAAAGGAAACCTGATATTAATTATACTTTTTCCTACTCTACCAGACATTTGTCTGGAAATGGATAATAAACTAGCGGCCGCCCGCGACTTCGTACGCGTGGATCCCGTATTACCCCCTTAGGGGTTGAATTTTGCAAAATCCCGTCTTAGTGAGCACCTACGTACTAAAAGGAACCCCCATGAGACTCATAGCACTTGTAGCCCGTGATGAGTAAGTGAGTCAATCAGTGACCTTTCGCTTTTATAGATAAAGATAGACATAGGTAGGTAATTATGTATGCCATCTTCAGTCAGTCCATCCAGATGTGTACGAGTATCAATCATCTGTATAAGACACATTACCTACATTTTATGGGTATTCTTATGGCGCGGACATCTCGCTCGTAATCACAAACATTATTACTATGAAGTCTCACAGTGCGTGTGGACGCACAGGGTGACACACGAACCAATCACAGAGCTCTATTCAACGCTGTGCGTTCGATTTGCTGCTTCACTTAAGCAAGCATCGTTTGTGAATACGGGCGTATCATTTGAGACTGAGAACAAGTTTAATATTCACGTAATGTAATATTATAGAATTTAAGATAAACGCGATATTATTTTAATCTTAAAGAAAATCCTCGAGTTTTGACCTTCAGATTTAAATGGAATGACTTCGCACAAGAGATTCGCTATATTTTCCGCATAATGAAGAATGTTCACTAATTTTGTTTTTTAGCTTTCTGTATTCTCTGTTAAAAATAAAAAAATACACGTGAAAGAATTATTTCGATACGTCAATTAGTTTCCAAGGTATTGAATTTTAAAAGTGCGGGCGGCGGCCGGCCCGCCATTTTATGCGCGTGACGTCATAGTACAGTTACTGGCTCATAAATAGTATGGGTGGAATCTTGCAAGCTGAATTAAGACCCACTTCCGGACAACCAATTAAGCTGAAATTTCGCATACACATGTGATTTAGATGACCATGCAATATTATGATGACATGGAGCTGATCTGATGATGGGGCTGGAAGAAGGCCATAGGAACTCTATAATAAAACTACTTAAATCCATCGAGTTTGGGCTCGTTCGTTTTGTATTGATGAGTACTTCAATTCTATACAGTAGTCAGGGTCTGATGATGGAGCTGGAAGGTAATTCGCAATAAAAAGACATAATCGCATCAAGTTTGGGTTTGGTTAAATTTTAATTTCTGTGATGGGTCTGGATGTTAATATGTATAATAAGTACGTATTTACAAAAAAAAATGTATTTAAGTACGTTTATATCCGTTGTCTAGTGAGCGGACACTGTGAATGTACGTCACGCGGGGTCACGTGACCGTTTGCGGGACTCGATATTTAAGCGAACTTTGAATGCCTATAAAATCATAACTACTTGGTATTTTTGAATGAAATAAAAACCAATGTATTTGTATATGCAAAAGCTTAACTGTAACATAGGTTTCAAGTGATTTTGCATACCTAGTAACATTCTCAATTGTTATGGATGTCACATACTGTCTGAAACCACTTACGTAGATATTATGAGCTTTTCCTCGAATGGTAATCTAAAAAGACCTAATGAGGAAGGATATTTCCACTCATACTTACAGTTGAGTTTATAATTAAAATCCATCCAGTGTCTAAATAGGTCAGTTAGAAGAGCAGCGGAAGGTCGTGGGTTCGAGTCCCGCCTTAGGCAGTTCGATTTTTTCAAGTTATTTATTTAAAATATAACAAAAATATTTATTCAGTAGATATGTAGGCCCTTTCTAGGGCACTTATACACGTCCCAAATAGCTTGCCCTACATGGGCTGATGCTAAGAAGAAGCCACCAGCTTCTAACAAAGCAGCGATTTGATTGACACAAACATTGGTGACCAACTCACATCCACGAGCCAATATTTGATTACAGGACTAGGCCATGGGTGTGTCATGGCAATAACTTTCCTTGCAGGGACAATAGCCTTTACACCCATGACTATAAAGACAAGCCAACAATAAACGTCTAATTAAGAATCTTATCACTCGTCATAGTAAATAATTCCATAGTGGTATTTACGCTACAATCGGAACTAATTCAGTTGATATTGTTAAGTATATTAAAGGAAATCGTTGATACTGAGTTATATGAAATTATTTGAGATACAGAATGCAGATTTGTAATTCAGTAAACAGTTGTAGTAAATTCTTTGAAACTAAATCCACAGGAATCACCTTGATTCTCAAAAATAACACATGTGCTTCGATCTAATTGTTGCCAAACATTCGACTCTACTCGACTGAGCTTCTAAAAATTTATATCTGACATAATAACTAGATTACCAGCAGAGAATCCATAATTTGCTTTATTCCAAGATAATCCCTATGCACGAGAATCGATGGAGCCATAATCCGAAGCCTAAAGCCGCTTAAAACTTAGCTCATGGTAAGCCTTCACAAAAGAAGTACCTAGCAAACAAGTCTCAAGTCTGTTATAGCAAGATATTTTCCCGCTCACTAGATTTTGTAAATAAGTGTACATAAAAACTACCGTAATCGTGTCATCATCATCATCATCTCAGCCATAGGACGTCCACTGCTGAACATAGGCCTCCCCCAACGATTTGCATGTTGCCCGGTTGGTAGCGGCCTGCGTCCAGCACCTTCCTGCTCCCTTTATGATGTCGTCGGTCCACCGGTAATCGCATGTCTAGGCATCTAACGTTATCTCCCAATTTTGCCCATATATGTACATGCTCGGACACACTGCCCATTTCTCGCAAAATTACAAGGATTTAAGCTTCTAATTAAGATATGCCATGTCAAGGGTTTAGGGGTGCGATAAGTATCATAGCTCATGAGTTGGCACTAATTTATTATCAACTATCATCTTCAAATTAGTAGCTCAACATTTTGTGGGGCCGTGCCTATTGTATACGAAGAAATTATGTGGTAGTATTTCGATTTCGTTGTAAAAATACAATACCCCCGTGTAACTTTCACCAGATCAAAGGCCGAGCTTTGTGTTCATAAAATATAACAAAAGAAGAACGTTCTTAGTCTTCCACCAAGAAAAGCTTGCAATTACCTTTAGGTTCTGGTTGGTAGCACGGAGGCACTGGGAGGTAAGACGGTCCTCGCGTGGTGATGAGCATGGTAGCCGTTAGTAGTATGGCGACGAAGCAGACAGCTGTAATCACCATGAGCACCCGCTCTAGTCTCGTTCGCTGGTGCCATCCTATGAACGATACGCCCTGGAACAAAAAAAAATAGTGTAAATATGTATTAAGCGAAATACTAATATACACCTCTAACCGTCAGAAATGGAAGCACATCGCCAGGAGAGCTACCCTCGGAGATGACATCACCCCACGTACCTCGTCAGCGCAACCACGACCACTCTGACAAGAGTGCCCGACTAAGAAAAAGATGAGCGAAATATCACTCACTGATTAATCACGAAATCTCANAAATATCAGAAACTATAACACCTACAAACTCGGAATTTGGCATGTAGGTACCTTATAGGGTGTAGAAATTCCCTAAAAACGTATTTTACGAAACTTCACCACTAAGGGGGTAAAACGGGTCAGCAAAGTCGCGGGCAGCAGCTAATGGGTTACTAAATAAAGATTTTTCAGGTGTGAATCGAATAGCGGTCGTTCGCTAAATCTTGGCCCTTTGTTCGTACTTCAGGCATGAATCAACCATCAGGTAATCATATCCAAACAGAAATATGATTCCCATGACGTACTATGTACACGTGTTATAATTAATATTATTTACTCGTATTATTTAAAACGTGGCAGTTCAATTAAACTATTATCAGCAGTGATTTGATAGTTTATAACATTAGCACAATAATAATACTAGAGAATGTAGGTAACAAAGGAAACATTCTCTCTAGCTTAAAAAGACTTTCAAATTATTAGATGTTTATTAGAATACTAGCTGCCCGCGACTTCGTACGCGTGGATCCCGTTTTACCCTCTTAGGGGTGGAGTTTCGTAAAATCCGTTCTTAGTGAGCAACTACGTTCTAATAGGAACCCCGATGCAAAAAATTTGAGACTCCTAGCACTTGTAGTTTCTGAGGTTTCGTGATGATTGAGTGAATCAGTCAGTGACCTTTCGCTTTTATAGAAATAAAAGCTTTATATAATATAGATAGATAACAATCTGATAGTTCAGTCAGAAATAACATTTTCTCTTCTCATCTTAGTTCAGACAGAATTCAGAAAACACTCGAATGAGTATTATTTGTGTTGTGAAAGTTAAAAAAAGCCCCATCTTTTATGCAAGCAATTATATTATGAAAACTGCACGGAAAAACCCGTGTTATTTCACAAACAAAACAACGTGTACTTTGAAGCATCGACCTGAATGTATTTAAAACTCTAAATATACCGCTAAGTAAACAAATAATTCGCAAAGTACACGGTTACTGAAATAGCGTCACGGTTCCAATAACACGTTTGGATATGCACTTTGGAAATTGCTCGTAAACTTACTAGTTCAATTTTGTCAACATTTCGCAGAAAACTGACAACAAAATGGGCTGACTAAAGATAACACGGGAAAAGGGGGGTACGAATTATTAGTAAAATATTCAAATTCAATAATTTATTTATTGATAAGGTATCAATGAGACGTTTTCTGCCCGCGCGGATTTTCATCTGCGTCAAAGAATTTTCGGCACGTAACGAAATTTCTTATCAGAATAGCTAACCAATAAATTATCAGGCAGACAAAATTACTTTTGTTATACAATATTGCCTAATGTAAAAGTAGAACTCATTTTTACGAGTACAAATAGGGGTTCTAAATTGGAATCTTGGAATACTAGTTGCCCTTCTGGGTTGCGTATGTTGCGATACAACATTAACTGATTGGTTTCAGTAAACGTCTTCATAAAAATCTTCACCTAAATAAACTTATCAACTAACAGTTTATTGAAGTACCTACTTAGTTGTTATAACACACATGGATAAGACACAAATCGATTAAGTTACTGATTCTGAGTCGCTCCTAAAAATTTGGCAACTGCTTGCAAAATATCCCTGTATGATTGTTGGTAATCACCATCACTCACGTACCTAATCAAATATTGTACCTATTCTTTCGCCCAGTTGTGTAACCTACTCAGGGTGGTAGTTTCTCGTAAGCTCACATAGTTGCTCGTAAGCTTCTCAAAAGTTTTTTAATATCCGTTCTTCCTACGAGCGGAATTCAATACCTCGCCTTCGCACTTCAATAGACAAAGGTAGGGAATGGGATTCTTCCTTTTATGGTGGTCACAGAAACAATAGCCAGTATCTCTGAAACTTTCCAATAGTTTTCCAGATTTTTCCACTCTTCCAGTGCAAGCCAAAAGCTTATTTTTTCCACTTTCAAACTAGGAGTCTAACTAGCAATTTTCTGTCTATTTCGTAAACTGATGGTGTTATGAAAATAGGTAAAAACTGAATCACTTTATAGTATCAATTAGTTTCCCAACTCTACCTTGTTAACGTAGCGCTTAATTAGTTAGGTTACTACAATCACACATTCAATTTCAACCAGAGGCTTATGAAACAGAAGTATAATTTCACAATTCTTTATTAATTAGTTAATAATTAATAAAGAATTGTGTAAAATTGTGTTTAGTACACCAACTACCTACCAACCAATACTAGGTACTCTTTCTTGATAGTTGCGTAGTATCGACTAATTAATATTAATTGATTGATAGCGACATAATTGATTGGGCTCAAAGTATAATCAATTTCCTTCAATTTCAAGTTCAGGTCAACTCTCTGAGACAAAAGTGCTTTGCAGGACGTATTTCTCCTCCCCTCAGCTGAAAATAAGTCCACTGCAGTATAAAGGCAAGGCACTTTCATCATCCCGCATATTTCATCATAGTCTACCAAGTGGGAGAGGTCTGCCATGATTGATTGCCACTCTAGTGGCAGTTACACTATGCGCGAAATTGATCGAATCAGTTAGTGTAATTGACATGGCCCGCAGAATCGCTAAAATCAAGTAGCAGTGTGGGCGTGGCACATAGCTCGCAGAGCTGATGGCAGCTGGGGCAGAGAAGTACTCAAGTGGCGACCTCGAGCCGGAAGACGTAGTGTGGGCAAGCCTCCCACTAGGTGGACCGACGATTTAGTGAAGGTCTTGGGAGGTGCCTGCAGGACCGGTCTTTGTGGAAAACCTTTGTTCCGCAGTGGACGTCATTCGGCTGAAACGAACGAACGAAGTTAGCGTAAACTGTAAACAGTTCTTCGTTTGGCCATGCGTCCATACTTCAGGCGCGTATTCGCGCTAGTGTTCGATCAATTTCGTGTAGTGTAACTGCGCCTCTATAGAACTTTTCTACTATAACACCGTCCGTTAAAAGTCCCTCCCACTGTCACTTGCGACTTTGCGAGACATCACTAATAATTACAATAACTGACCTGTCGACTTGTCTCTGGTACCTTTTCCGTATCACTTTTTTTAATAGTAGGGTTGATATCAATAGAGTACAAAGAGGAACGTCTGTCCTTTTCCATGGCTGTGAATGACTGCCGAACTATCCCAGCCCATTGCGTGTGGCCAAGTACCCATTATTTAGGGGTGAGAATATTTAGGGGCCAGAATATAGCAAAATTTTCAAAGAGGGTCAAGGCAACATCATTATTTTGCTTACAAGATGGTTTGCGACATGCGAACATCTCTACATCAGGCCTCCCGAACACATGGCCATTGTGAAGAGTGTAGGTTTAATTTTCTATTTACCTCATTAAAAAATAAAGAGGGTCATCCTACTGCAGTCATCACTAAATCACCTGATGATGATGGTGATGATGATGCACTCGAACCGCTTGCGCCTTTGTATTGAACTGAATCAAGCAAAAAATATACTTTCCGGCTACCCCGAAAAACTCATGAAATTGTAAATAAAAACCGTCAAACACCGAAATCCAAACGGGCCAAACTGTAGTCAGAAGTTAAAATAAGCCAAGTGACAACTGGAATGTAATTTAACGATCTCCAATTAAAACTTTGTCGTTATTAGTTTTAACGTTTTGGGGGCTTGAATGAGGCCTTTCAAGGGCCAAAATTGGCCCTTAGACTAGAATATTGGCCCGCGGTTCTTATTTGGCAACCCTTGTTTTACTATCACCATTCATTCATTATAGCCTGACCAGGAACATAAAAACCCTGGCATAGAGGCGCGTCAATTGCATTTGATAGTGCAACACTGAGTACAGTCGTACCTGTGTTAAATTAATAGGCTAACTTTATGTATCAGGATTCTGGATTACGGGCTAATTTGATATTTTCATAAATTAACGAAAAAATATTATTATAGGTAACCTGGTTTAAATAAATTAAATGAAACCATCAATCGAGTTAGTAGGATTTATTTTATTATTCGTAAATAATCAAATTCAGAACTTGAATATTCAACTGCAATGCCTGCTCATGAACGCTTCAAACTCGGTACTTCTTTCCCAATTCCATAAAATTCAACACTTAGAAAGTGACAAAAAACTTTAAAATAGGCAGTTGAAACTAACCACAGCTAATTTTCATAGTGGACTGTACTATACGATAAACATGTCAGTCAATTTGACAACCTTTGTCGGAAACATTATTCAATGAAAATATTGTCCAAACCCTTAGTATTTCTCTTCGACAAATACTTTAACACATTGTGAACCACTTTTCTTTCACGACTATAAAAATATTTTAGCAATTTAATTCACAAAATCAATTGCGCACATTTAAAATAAAGTTTGTTTACACTTTGACAGCAATTGACTGACATGCAAGGTGACATATCAATGAAGTTTTCAGTTACTGTTGCCATTAAAAGAAATTAGTAGGTACCATTAGTTTTCCGCAACATGGCGAGGGTTTTTATGTTCCTGGTCAGGCTATACATTACTTACTTAAATTAACGCTTTATTAATCTAGCTGTGCCCGTGACTTCGTACGCGTGAAAATAGTTTGAATAATATTTCCCGTATTTGCAACATTTTTCTTTACTGCTCCGCCCGTATTAGCTGTAGAGTGATATAATATGGCCTAAAGCCTTCCTCGATAAATGGGCTATTCAGAACAAAAGTAATTTTTCAAATCGGACCACTTCTTGAGAATTAGCGTGTTCAAACAAACAGTTTTATAATATTAGTACGTATAGATTTCACTAATGGCCTCAAGAGAGAGCCAAACCCACGGACAGTTAATTTTGTAGTATTTGACCTTCATACTTGATTAAT